GGCAGTGCATGGAAGTCATGGCACCGCAGCCACGCCCTCCGGCCGCAGTGCAATCGTCTGTACCGTGACGCGCGGTACATCAGTGCATGCAGCATTTTTTCTGAACGGACCGCAACGCAGGCACTGATGTGCCACGCGTCCCGGTGCGGGCGATCGCACTGCAGCCGAAGGACGTGGCTGCGGTGCCATTCACTTCAATGCACCGTCATGCCCCCTCCTGCCCCAAAACAAAGTGAGCTGGCTGGAATGCGATCCAGTGCATTACAGCACCAATCGGGCCAGAACGCACTGTTTGTGGTGTGAGCTAGCCCTGAGAGACAAAATACATTACAAAAGCTACTGTAGGTATTCACCTGGATGTCATCAGTGCCCGGGCCAAAAAAAAAAAGTCACCACCTGGATTCCCTACTGAGTCTGACATATACTGTAGCTGTTCAATCAGCAATGCTCACACTCAATGCTGTTTAAAGATCTCACTCTGACTCATCAGGGGGTATGTCGGACCTCTGCAGAGAGACCATTGCTTCCACACAGAGAGCTGGGGTCTTTCCTTGCAGCATGCTGGCAGGGGACAGGCTTTTCAGGTGACAACTGTCTAAGAGGTGGCTTTTTTTACTTCCTGCTGTGTCCTTGAATTAGGAAGTAAAGGGTAAAAGTGGGAGGTCATAACCCTTTCCTACTTCCAAAGTTTTTGCTGCAGAGAAGGACCCTCATATTCAGTGTGAAAGCAGTGGTCTCTCTGCGGAGGTCCAACACACACCCTACTGCATCTGACATATAGCTGTGCAGTTAGCAATGCTAATTGCTTCCTGCTGTTAGAAGAGCTCTAACTCTGACTCAGCAGGGGGTTTGTCAGACCTCTGCAGAGAGATCACTGATTCCACACAGGGAACAAGAGTCCTTATGAGAAGTATTCTGGCAAGGGACAGGCTTTTCAGATGACAAATAAGAGGGGATTTCTCCCAACTTTGCTGGTGTACTTCCTGTTGTATCCCTGAACCAGGAAGTGAAGGGATAAAAAACATGGCAGGGGACATAACCCTTCCCTACATACAAAGTGTTGGCTTTACATAGACATCAATGTAGAGATGTGTCACTACGAGCAAGGGATTGACAACCGCTTCTCATGTTTCTAATTCCAGGAGAGGAGGTTGACAGACAAATGTGCCGAGATGCCATCTACCCGATCCCCATCGCCTGTGACGTCCCGTGTCCCAGAGACTGCGTCCTCAGCTCATGGTCTGAATGGTCGTCCTGTTCACACACCTGCTCCGGAAAGACCACCGAAGGAAGACAGACGAGAAACCGCGCTATTCTTGCCTATCCTGGTGACGGTAAGTCTGTCACTGCTAATCATTATTTTTAAAGGTTAACTCCGGGATAAGATAATATCATCTAAATACTAAAGAGTCATGTGTGTTCTTCCTTGATTCTCTGTAACTTTGTGTATTCCTTCCAGATCTGTGCAGTAATCCGAACAGCCGGATCCATGCTGATAGGCTGGGAAGCCGGTTCCCAGCCAATCAGCATGGAGCCGGCTGAACAGCCAGCCCCATGCTGATTGGCTGGGAAGCCGGTTCCCAGCCAATCATCATTGAGCCAGCCGAGCAGCCAGCTTCATGCTGATTGACAGGGAAGCCAGCTTTCTGGCCAATCAGCATCCAGCCACCTGAACAGCCAGCTCCAGGCTGATTGACTGGGAAGCCGGCTTCCCAGCCAATCAGCATGGAGCCGGCTCTCCGGCCAATCAAGAAGCTGGGAGGTGGGTCATTACTCGCCGCTCGGCTTCCTGATTGCTTGGGAAGCCGGTTCCATTGCCAATCAGCATCGAGCTAGCCAAACATGGAGCCGGCTCAAGGAAAATATCGGTACTCGTACTCCATCCCCAAAAAACGGTATCTGTGCATCCCTAATATTGACATTGAAATGCTGTAATCAAAAGCAAATTAAGACCAACAGACTGTAATGGATGTGGTTTAGTGACTATGATAAAATGCCTATTTCAATATATTGTAATATATATGTTATTTCTCCTGTTCATATGAATCCTTACTCAAAATGGCTGCCTAGTTAGTTGCTCAACTTAGCACCCCTCCCCCCCTCCTATGAGAAGTACGCACTAGAAATAGAAGATGGGGCCTCCGGGAGAGACTACACCCAACATCAGGACGTCAGAATCCTGGAAGGAGGTTACGCTTTAAATGAATCAGTCCAATTATAACCTAGAAAGCTATCGCAAATGCTATGTTTACATATACACTATCAGTTGTCTATATAAGACACAACAATGCGGAACAATAAAGTAGAAGTATCTTTACTCTGACTTTCGGTGTCAGAGCGATGGTCTCCTGAGTAATACATGCCTCAGAACAGTGAGTACACAGGAGATTTTTCTTTTCTGGTTAGATGAGAGTTCTGGTAAGTTGAATACCGGATAACTGAGAGTTTTTGTGTATTATTTGGTGACTTCCTCTCCTGCACGCCGTATCGGCGTCTATTTCTTGGAAAGACTCCGGAATCTTCCGGCATTTCACACTGCCGCGCATATACGCGCGTATTGTACCATATGCAAATAAATGGCTCCATACACATAGCCGCGTACGGAGCCGTATATTTGCGTAGCGTAAAAATATGCAAAAACAGAATGGAACCGAGATGCGTCCAGGCAGTGTATTTCTGTGTATTTTACGCGCATACAGTTCATTGAAATGTCTATTACGAATGATGCATTCTGGGATTGCATATAGTGCACGCATATACGCGCATATATATACATACCTGCGTATATGCGCGGCAGTGTGAATGAGGCCTTACTGGGCAGATCAGGGCGGCGTATGGCCGCGTAGTCCCATACAGAAGGACGGGGGCTGCGTACTAATCACACGCAGCACCTGTCCTTCCTGGGAGATGCGTGCACGGAGCTGTACGTGTCGGCTTTTTCTCGTGTGAATGAGGCCTTAGTCTCACTGACCCTGTTGGTGACCAACGGTTATTGCTAACAAAAGGTTAATTGCATGCAACTGGAATCAATCGATCAATCAATCAATCATTCAATCAATCGATTTGATGGCTTTGTTGTTGCTTTTTCTTGTTGCAGGAGGCACTCCCTGCCCTGAGAGTAACGCGCTGCAGGAGATCCGGAGCTGCAATGAACACCCTTGTACCGTATACCACTGGCAGACGGGCCCCTGGGGACAGTGCACGGAGGATGTCACAGTGTCTATTTTCAACACTTCCAGCTGGAATGGAGAAGCGGCCTGCGCCGTCGGGATGCAGACAAGAAAAGTGATCTGTGTTCGTGTCAACGTTGGACAAGTTGGACCTAAAAAGTAAGAGGGGGTGTGTGTGTGTGTGTGTGTGTGCGCTGCAGACTTATTGTTCCTGGGGAAAATGATGCTGCTCTGGGTTCCCTTCAGTAATGCGCACAGAACCAAAACCCTGGGCGCTTGGTCACCTGATTTCCCCAAATTTTCCAGGGAAGCTCAGATGCACACCTAAGTGTAAACTCTCAAGCTGTAACTGTATGCTTCATCCTAATACAGTATTCTTTTTTCACTCTCCATCAAGCTCCACCCCCGAGGATCAGAACTGACAATAAAATAAGTAAAATGCTGACAGTTTTAATGTTTCATTTTTCCTTCTTGCCTAGATGCCCCGAGAGCCTTCGCCCAGAGACCATGAGACAGTGTCTGCTGCCGTGCCGCAAAGACTGCATCGTGACCCCTTATAGTGATTGGACACCATGCCCCACTTCCTGCCAAGAAGAGAAAGGTCAGAGAGCCCGACAACAACTAAATTGTTGTTTTCTTTCTATGAAACATAGTCAGCGCGTTCTGGTGCCAGGCTCTAATGTTAGTCCCCGCTCCCCGCAGGGATTCCCCCCTCCCCTCTCCGATCCTCCAGCGCTGACTGGAGAGACGGACAGGGGAGGGGGCGGGCACAGCTGGCTCTGCCTCTAGATAGGCAGAGTCAGCTGTCACTCACATCAGGATCCGTCAGGATTTGTCCAGGTTATGGCGATCTCACTATATAGCGGGCAACAGCCCGCTATATACTGAGCTTTGGGTCACGTGAGGAGGTTGGTATACACTATATTACCAAAAGTATTGGGACGCCCCTCCAAATCATTGGATTCAGGTGTTCTGTGAAATTTCCTTGCTACTAAATATTCCGCGGTCACCTGTTAGTGGGATTATAACAAAGTGGAAGCAACTGGGAACAACAGCAACTCAGCCAGGAAGTGGTAGGCCACGTAAAACGACAGAGCGGGGTCAGTGCATGCTGAAGGGCACAGTGCGCAGAAGTCGCCAACTGTCTGCAGAGTCAATAGCTACAGACCTCCAAACTTCGTGTGGCCTTCAGATTGGCACAACAACAGTGTGTAGAGAGCTTGGAGGGGGGAATCCAGCCCCTCCCCTGTCACGGCAGAGAGCCGTGACAGGATCGAGAAGTGAGCGAAAGCCGTTATGTGTTCGCTCACCTCCCGATCTACTGAGCCGACCTGTGGCAGTCTCATTGTCACAGGTCGGCTAGAACTATGAGGTGAGTGAAAAGCACTCATCTCATAGTTCTCCTTTAAAGTTCATGAGTGTGTAAAGGCGTCCCAATACTTTTGGCAATATAGTGTATTTCCTCTTGTGACCCTAAAGAGAATTATGGGGAAAACACTTACCCCATAGTTCTCTTTTAACTTGAGTACCACCCTCCAGGTATACACCCCTTCATTGCCAGGCCATTGTTCAGCTGTGACAATTGACTAACAATTCTTCCGTAAAGCAACATTGTACCCCAATCAAGGGAATATTATTTGTTTGAGGCAGATAGAGATTTATTCTCTTTATAGAGGAAAACAGACCAGAGATTCCCTTACTTGATGTTAAAATAAAAATGTAAATAAGAAGTATGAATATCCCTAAAATAACGCCTTGTTGGAACGTACGCACCCCAAGGGGATCTCGTTTTTTGGGGGGGAAATGGAGGAACAAATTCATTAAGTGAAGTTTTATTTTCTGTGGATTGATAACAAAGCCGTTCTGCATCAGTAACAGGGTTGCTATGTGCGCACAGGACAGGGACGGGCGCTCCATTCATCATGGTGTGCAGAGTCATACGGAGCGCGCCATTCCGGACCTCCGCCTCGAAGGCATCTGAAGGCATTGGAGGGATGATTCCGCCCCGAGCCGTCTCTGATCTCCGCATGCACTATTGACCCAGATAACGCATGGAGGAGACACGGAGAGGCTCCTCTTAGAGGATGTGACCACCGGATCTGGGTCACGGCTCTGCCGTATCATGCCGAGTCCTGACATGAATGATAACAGCCATTGCTCTGCGTGCCCCCTGCACCACAGCTGCTTGTTAAAGGGAACCTGACGTTAGAATAAAAGCCGAGCTCGAGGCGAACAGCTAAACAGGGAAATAAAATACATGTGATGAGGCTGTTTTACCTTCCCAAATATTTGTATGCCTGTCCATCCAGTTCTAAGATTTACACAGCACAGCCCTGCCTGGCAGGCCAGGACACCTGATTTCTCCCAGCTGCAGTTCAATAACATTTGCTGGTCTTGTCCGTCCCCCAACCTGTGTCTGGACAGGAGTCTAATTAGCCCTCCCAGTTCTCTCAGTGAACCACAACTACTCCTCCATGTTTGGGGATGAAGTGATATAAGAGGGGGGGCGGGGGCGGCAGTGTAATAAAACACAATACAAACTTTACAGGCAGGACAAAGTATTTCCTCAGTCTCCCCTCCCCCAGTGATCAGTCTTTTGCAGGCAGGGGGACGCATTTCCTCAATCTCCCCTCCCCCTAGTGATCTGTCTGCTGCAGGCAGGAAGAAGCATTTCCTCAATCTCCCCTCCCCCCGGTGATCAGTCTGCTGCAGCCAGGAAGAAGCATTTCCTCAGTCTCCCCTCCCCAGTGATCAGTCTTGCTGCAGGCAGGGGGACGCATTTCCTCAATCTCCCCTCCCCCTAGTGATCAGTCTTGATGCAGGCAGTAGGAAGTATTTCCTCAGTCTCCCCCCCCCCCCCCCCCGCTCACAGGCGAACCATCATACATTTTTAATTA